TGGACGAAATTGTACTATCGGATGGTTTAGTTATAATTGTCTCTACAGTAAGCTTTCGCTGCATATTATTTTGTTGACAGCATATGTTGACATTAATATGTTGACATTAATATGATGACAATATATGTTGACATTATTATGTTGACATTACTATGTTGATATTACTATTTTGACATTACTATGTTGGCATTATTATGTTGACCTTAATATGTTGACATTAATATGTTGAAATTAATATGTTGACATTAATATATTGATATTAATATGTTGATATTACTATGTTGACATTATTATGTTGACATTAATATGTTGACATTAATATGTTGACATGACTATGTTGATAATACTCTGTTGACATTACTATGTTGACGTTACTATGATGACATTAATACAAAATGATCTATTTACTCACCTTTTTATTTATAATCAATAGATGGCACATTATTTCACTTTACCCCCTATATGTTAACACCATTAGTAGTATCAGGATACCGTAAGTCACCCCAACGTTAACCCCTCTAAAAGACAGGGTTTCACTAGATTTCATCTTTCCGATCTCAACAGGAGACATGGCTGTGTTGGCCAGTAGGGTCTCCCCCCAATCCAACAACAAATGCAGGAGAAATCACATATTCGAATTCACATTTCTCAAGGAGGTCTACGTCACATCTTTACAAATCAGATACCTCTATAAAGGTAAGTTCAGAAAGTTACCAGCTTATGAGATAAACTTATTTTCGCATGTTCGAATTCACATTTCTCAACGAGGTATATGTCACACCTTTACAAATCGAATACCTCCAAGACGGTAAGTTCAGAAAGTTACCAGCTTATGAGATAAAATTACTTTCAAATGTTCGAATTCACATTTCTCAACGAGGTATATGTCACATCTTTACAAATCGAATACCTCTATAACGGTAAGTTCAGAAAGTTACCAGCTTATGAGATAAACTTATTTTCGCATGTTCGAATTCACATTTCTCAACGAGGTATATGTCACACCTTTACAAATCGAATACCTCTATGACGGAAAGTTCAGAAAGTTACCAACTTATGAGATAAAATTACTTTCAAATGTTCGAATTCACATTTCTCAACGAGGTATATGTCACACCTTTACAAATCGAATACCTCTATGACGGTAAGTTCAGAAAGTTACCAACTTATGAGATAAAATTACTTTCAAATGTTCGAATTCACATTTCTCAACGAGGTATATGTCACATCTTTACAAATCAAATACCCTTTTAAAGGTAAGTTCAGAAAGTTAGAAAGTTATCAGCTTATAAGATGAACTTATTCTCTCTCTCTCTCTCTGTTTCTCTCTCTCCTACCCCCTTTCTCTCTCTATCTCTCTATCTCGGTCTATGGTAGCTTGGCACTTGATTTGAAGACAAATGATCTCAGACAATAAATACCATACACCATATCTCAAAAACAAATTATCTCAGACAATAAATACCATACAAAATATCTCAAAAACAAATTATCTCAGACAATAAATACCATACAAAATATCTCAAAAACAAATTATCTCAGACGATAACACCATACAAAATATCTCAAAAACAAATTATCTCAGACGATAAACACCATACAAAATATCTCAAAAACAAATATTATCTCAGACAATAAACACCATACAAAATATCTCAAAAACAAATTATCTCAGACGATAAATACCATACAACATATCTCAAAAACAAATTATCTCAGACGATAAATACCATACAACATATCTCAAAAACAAATTATCTCAGGACAAAATATATCAAGGACGAAGAAATCATGGCAATATATGTAAAGGACAAATGATTTCAAAACAAAACATTTCAGGACCAATAATATCGGGAAAAATATTTCATGACAATCGATCTGAGGACACATGATATCAAGGACATCAGGACAAATAATTTCATGACAAATATGTTAGTATAATTGATCCCACTAACGTATAAAAGATCTGATAATACGATTTCTATTAGAGAACCAACAACACATTTATACCCGTTGCGAAATATTTCTTTATCGCTATACACAATTATCACAACAAATTAAACACCCATGCAGTTGCAGACATATTGTTTCATGAAACTCAATATTTTTTTTAAATATGCGCAGATGAACGAGCGAAGATAACGTTGATATACACCACGGCCGACCATGGCGATTGGGTCTGTGACCAACAGCTGACCTATGACCTAGACGATTTAAATATGGTAGTGGAGTGTAAAACAATAACTGCTGCCAAGACCTTTACAGTCAAATTTGATGAAGACATCTACGTGTGCAAGATACACATCAATGGTGGTATGTGTTCAAATGTGTTCAATATGTGTCTCCACATATACGTAGTTCTAGTGTGTCCTTCAATATGTGTCTCTACATATACGTAGTTCTAGTGTGTCCTTCAATATGTGTCTCCACATATACGTAGTTCTAGTGTGTCCTTCAATATGTGTCTCTACATATACGTAGTTCTAGTGTCTTCAATATGTGTCTCCACTTAGGTAGTACGTAGTTCTAGTTTATACTTCAATACGTGTCTTCACATATACGCAGTTCTAGTGTCTTCAATATGTGTCTCCACTAAAGTTGCACATAGTTCTAGTGTGTCCTACAATATATGTCTCAACTTAGGTTGTACGTAGTTCTAGTGTGTTTTTTCCATACCTCTCCACTACGGTTGCATCATTGCCTCACACTCTAGAAAGATCCCCTGCGTTTAATTAAGTTTTATACTGCACACAAACCCCTATCAACAAAACCTGATGACCAAACTCCAATAGAATTCACTGTGCTCCATCACCAGGCAGAAACATAGCCAGAGGGGGCTTCTCCTCCATCATTGTGAACGGGGTCGTCACAGAAAGTGACATCAACGACAGGATGGTCATCGACCAGATCGTTAAGGACGACTGCTACGTCAAGCACCTGCCTGACTCCAAAATCACCTGGGTGACGGAGTTCTACATGCCGCCCACGGTTGTGGAGGTTCTGGTCTACACCGCGGGTCGGTAAACTAGTGGACAAAGTGGACGATACCGATTCCCCTTTCTGTCTCCATCTATCTACACACATACACACAAACATACATACACACGCATATATATATATATATATATATATATATATATATATATATATATATATATATATATATATATATATATATATATATATATATATATATATATATATATATATATATATATATATATATATATATATATAAAAGTAAAGTAAGTAACGTTTCCCTTTCAAACCTGACGGTCTATGGGGCAAGTGAAGTAGAGTTCACTTGTTTCTGTGACCTCGGCATATGAAGAGATAGTGTGGTCAGCACTATGCCCAGCCGCCTTTACTTTCCCTAACGTGAGTTAGGTAGCCTACCCATCAGAGTTGGGTGGACTCAGGGACGGTTTACTGACTTGAACCCGGATTCGAACTCGAGACTAACGGGTTAGTAGTTCAGTTCTCTACCGCTAGACCACTCCGTCCCCTATATATGTATATATATACGCATCATATTTTTAATTAGGTAAAATATTCAAATATTTCGATTTCAATATATGTGCATAAAACTAGATAAGTGTAGATTTTACTCTGCAATCCTAACTGTAGTTTCAATAAAGAATGCCACGAGGATAAAACAAGTCTTTAAAATGAAAATTAAAAATAAAGAGTTTCACTGAGACCTAAAACTCAGCTTTGAGTTTTGTTTAAGTCATGCTCTGTTCTTTGATTTTCTTGAGCTAATAAAGCATGTTGTCATTGCGCAAAACTCAACACACATCCATTATTATTAGATCAAGATGGCCAAAAAATGTCGGATTTTACAATCGACATCGAGGCTGACGAAGAAGCCGAGGATGTTAATTACAAATCCCAGAAGTTCCAGAACGTTCACTCGGTGTTGGTCCGGCCGCCGCGGAAGATCAGGAAAATAGAGATCACCACAACAGGCACTCTGGTGCTGTGTGAACTCCAGGTCTATGGCGGTAAGTTACCGGCTGGTGTTTGCAAGTCTGTCCGTCTATCTGATCGTCCCATTGTCTTTTTATAGGAATTCATATATATATATATATATATAAATATATATATATATATATATATATATAAATATATATATATATATATATATATATATATATATATATATATATATATATATATATATATAAATATATATATATATATATATATATATATATATATATATATATATATATATATATATATATATATATATATATATATATATATAAATATAATTGTATATATAAATGTATATGTATATATATATATATATATATATATATATATATATATATATACATACATACATACATACATTTACATATATATATATATATATATATATATATATATATATATATATATATATATATATATATATATGTATATATCGTCATGATTCTTATTTTAGAATGTGGCATTGGAATGTTTGGTCCGGAATGTGATTATGAATGCTATGAGACCTGCTTAGATCAGGACTGCCAGTTTATGGGTATCTGTAAGGCGTGCCCCAAAGGCAGGACTGGACAAAACTGTATGAAGCGTAAGTTCATCTTCCACCGTTCATCTGAATAGTGTCTTTATATATATATATATATATATATATATATATATATATATATATATATATATATATATATATATATATATATATATATATATAGTCCGGCTATAGCCTGACCCCAATAAACGATTACAAGAATGGTGTTGATTCTCCCTACAGTTGTCAGCCCACCCTCAAACTCTTTAAATGAGAGTGGTCAAGACTTTCGCCCACTCTTACAATCAGCTAACGGGGAAAATTCGGGTTCCGCCCTCAACTGGGGCAGAATGATTGGCATCTTAACTCTCATGTTCTTTGTGCTTGCGCTCATTCTCGTTTTAAGAAAATCAAGGTAATTAATGTATGTATGTATATATATATATATATATATATATATATATATATATATATATATATATATATATATATATATATATAATATCAAATTTTACATGTTTGCGATTAGCTTGAAATTGTGTTTTCCTTTATGTTTCTTCATTAACTACTTGATGAGTTGGATTAGTTTTGTAATTAAGCTAGGAGATACGACCACGCTAGGTTTTAATCTTGATCCATTGATGTAAAATAAACTGCTTTATGCATCTAAAAAATGCACTTTGAACAGCCAACCCTAGACACGCGAAATTTATTTATTATTAAAACTCTGTTGATGTTATGTTAGATTCAACGGCGTTTACCATGGATTTCGACTAACTAAATGTGTTGTAGCGTGATAAATATAAATATATCTTGGTATAATGACATTGATGATGAGTAATTAACATTGTTTCTTTGTTTTGTTTTTTTTTTTCAGAACCACAGTACCTGCACCTCCAATTGAGTGAAAATTTTAATAGCCACACAATTTTTTGTAGCTATGCTATTTTGGAAGCTAAAGGACTACAAGTTTTGTAGCTATACTAACGAAAACCAAATCTAGCTTCTCAAAACTAAAGTACCTTAACCCTATTTAAATAGGACATAGATTCATTCATTGTAATGTTTGAATGTATTTTCATCATTGTATTACTTAAATTCATATACATTTCATTAGCTCATTTTTTTTAAAGTGTGAATATATAAAATACAAATTTGATGATGAACCATTAGTCATTTTATAAGAACTTGTTTTGAAAGTGATCATGTACTACCCTTATGTAAATAGATTTTGGTTCGTATTGATTTAGACAACTTTGTCCGGGGATTTTCACAAAAAAATAAATATTATAATAAGTCTGGTTTTTGTTATTTGTATTTGTGTATCGTATATCTTTCCAGCTCACTTTCAAAACCTTACAAGTCTACTTTTTGAAAAATAGGTTTCTCTCATTGTCTTCTTAAATAGGTGGTAATTAAAGTAATATACTATTTTTTGTTGCTAGGGGTATTCAATAAAAAATAAGTAATAGTAAAATATCGAAAATCTTAAGAATAGTTAATCAAAAAACAATTTAAAAGTCAATTTCTCCAAAATCATCCAATAAGTGACTTAGAAGGTTTTGCCAGTGGTTTCCTCATCCAGACATGTTTTAGTTTTTAATGTTTTGTAAACAGACAAGTTCACAGTGTGAAGAGAATTCATGTAAAATATTGTCGTGCCATGAACATAGGCCCTAATTAGAGTGAGCTACAGTTGAAGAGGCATCAGCATCGGTAAACAAAACTTTGACCTGCAAAGCTGCTCACTAATCAAAGCTGTCCACATAAAAATGTGTCCTTTGGATAAAGATGTCCAATATGATCAGATTTTCACAGACGAAAGCTGTTCACATAACTAGCTGTCCAGTGTCAAAGCTGTTCACATAACTAGCTGTCCAGTGACAAAGCTGTTCACATAACTAGCTGTCCATTGACAAACCTGTTCACATAACTAGCTGTCCAGTGACAAAGCTGTTAACATAACTAGCTGTCCAGTGACAAAGCTGTTCACATAACTAGCTGTCCAGTGACAAACCTGTTCACATAACTAGCTGTCCAGTGACAAAGCTGTTCACATAACTAGCTGTCCAGTGACAAAGCTGTTCACATAAATAGCTGTCCAGTGACAAACCTGTTCACATAACTAGCTGTCCAGTGACAAAGCTGTTCACATAACTAGCTGTCCAGTGACAAAGCTGTTCACATAACTAGCTGTCCAGTGACAAAGCTGTTCACATAACTAGCTGTCCATTGACAAACCTGTTCACATAACTAGCTGTCCAGTGACAAAGCTGTTCACATAACTAGCTGTCCAGTGACAAAGCTGTTCACATAATTAGCTGTCCAGTGACAAAGCTGTTCACATAACTAGCTGTCTAGTGACAAAGCTGTTCACATAAATAGCTGTCCTTTGACAAAGCTGTTCACATAACTAGCTGTCCAGTGACAAAGCTGTTCACATAACTAGCTGTCTAGTGACAAAGCTGTTCACATAAATAGCTGTCCTTTGACAAAGCTGTTCACATAACTGCTTTGTGCAGTGATGTGAGCTGTTCACATAACTAGCTGTCCATTGACAAACCTGTTCACATAACTAGCTGTCCTTTGACAAAGCTGTTCATATAACTAGTCTTCCAGTATTCAAAGCTGTCAAAAGATCTAAGCTGTTCTTAGACCAAAAATGTTCACTGAACTAGGCTCTCCAGAGACCAAAGCTGTTCACGGACTAAAAATCTGAACTTAACTGGGCTGTCCACAGACCAAAGCTGTTCGGACAAAAGATGTTCAAATACCAATGCTGTCAAGTGATCAATGCTGTCCAATATTCAAAGCTGTCGGTAGAACAAGAACACTCCGACCACCAAGCTATTATTTCCAACAGGGCTAATTTTTTAAACGGGAAAAAGGTTGATCTCACCAGATCTATAATACTGTAATGTTATAAACTAAACTTTACTAAACCGTTCTACAGTTTAACCATTTTAAAGTATACAACATTTTTAAACACATTAAAAAGAAAAATGTAGACAAACACAAAAATAACTTACACCAATGTATGCTATCAAACTGCTTTTATTATTTCATTATATTGGATCAATTAGGCCAAAAGAGGGTTTATTTAAGTATTTAGACACAACAGCGATTCATTAATATTCCAATAATACTGGTAGGACTTCTGCAGATCTGTTGAAAAAAGTGGTATTTATATATATATATATATATATATATATATATATATATATATATATATATATAAGCGGAACGAAGAAAATAGTTAAGTAGCATTTGAGTTCATTTTTATTAAGCAAATTTTAGTGAAGGTCCATAATGTTGAGGGATAGCTTGTAGCATTAAAATGTAACGAGTTATTGAAATAAAGTGATCGGAAAAGTTAAGCTATATCTGCGAGAAGAGCAGTTGATCAAAGTAGAGGTTCTTCGTTGACCTAATCCATCCTAAACCCCGTCAGCAAGTCGGATGGTTTTTCAAACAATATACACTTTTTATTTTCTTTACAGAGTTTCTATTTTTTAAACATTTTCTTTTAAAATACGTTATAAATAAAAGCAGGGTGATATTTTGGATGCTAGAACTAATTATTTAATGACATGTTATATAGATTCAAACACACACTTACAGACACACATATATATTGCATATATTATATATATATATATATATATATATATATATATATATATATATATATATATATATATATATATATATATATATATATATATATATATATATATACATGTATACTAAATATGTATATATAAATAAATAAATAAATATATATATATATATATATATATATATATATATATATATATATATATATATATATATATATATATATATATATATATATATATATATATATATATATATATATATGTATACTAAATATGTATATATAAATATATATATATATATATATATATATATATATATATATATATATATATATATATATATACATGTATACTAAATATGTATATATAAATAAATAAATAAATATATATATATATATATATATATATATATAATATATATATATATATATATATATATATATATATATATATATATATATATATATGTATACTAAATATGTATATATAAATATATATATATATATATATATATATATATATATATATATATATATATATATATATATATATATATATATATATATATATATAATGTATACTAAATATATATATATATATAAATATATAAATATAAATAAATATATATATATATATATATATATATATATATATATATATATATATATATATATATATATATATATATATATATATATATATATATATAATTGTTTTTTTTTTAAAACCATGATTTTAGCAAACAACACAAATTGTCCAAATACTGTAGCCCTACACTTGCCAAAAGAGGGTGTTCCTAAGCCTTATGCCGCCAGCCTCCATTGATCTAGTGTCCATGTTCACAGTATCCCATGTGATCAAAGGTCAGAGTCGGTTGCTTGCATCGGGCCTTGAGCAGGGTGCACATGCTGGCGTAGGAGCGACCGTTGGTTCCACAGACCGGCTTGAGCACGGGGGGACAGACTCGGTTACACGGGTCAGCTACGTAAACCTCCCGTCGTACGACTGTGTGGGGTGGAGAGAAAAGGGTTAATGGTGGTGGCTGTGATCTGGACAGGAAAGGGTTAATGGTGGGGGAGTGATGTGGAGAGGAAAAGGTTAATGGTGGTGGCTGTGATCTGGACAGGAAAGGGTTAATGGTGGGGGAGTGATGTGGAGAGGAAAAGGTTAATGGTGGTGGCTGTGATCTGGACAGGAAAGGGTTAATGGTGGGGACTATGCTTGCATTTATCACAATATCAGTGGTGTGTGCTAAGAGAACTATTACGTTTCCTTTAATAAGCGTAATGTATTTTAGCCGCTCTATCCTACCGTCAGTCCTTCATACAATTTGTGACAAACCCGTCATTGTCACTATCACTCAATTTTGACTCAAAGACATTGTTTTTTGTGATACGTCTCCAAAACATATCGCAAAAAAAAAAAAAAAATTTGATCAAATTATATTTAAAATCAATCGTCTGATAATTATTAAGTCATACTAAATTTAATAACAAAACGAGAAAAAAATGGTTTATATACTATTAAAACACTCTCGTATTTGCGTTCCCATATTTTCTATAACATCCATTTCAGTATATTTGGAAGTTTCCAGCATTCTTCTTGCAACACTTTGGCATAGATTCCATTTGCTGCTATGGGCTTTCCCATTTTGTTATGCCCGATCACATCTTCCACCGTCATCCCGCCTGTAACCTTCCACCGTCATCCCGCCTGTAACCTTCCACCGTCATCCCGCCTGTAACCTTCCACTGTCATCCCGCCTGTAACCTTCCACCGTCATCCTGTAACATTCCACCGTCATCCCGCCTGTAACCTTCCACCGTCATCCCGCCTATAACCTTCCACCGTCATCCTGTAACCTTCCACCGTCATCCCGCCTGTAACCTTCCACCGTCATCCCGCCTGTAACCTTCCACCGTCATCCTGTAACATTCCACCGTCATCCCGCCTGTAACCTTCCACCGTCATCCAGCCTGTAACCTTCCACCGTCATCCTGTAACCTTCCACCGTCATCCCGCCTGTAACCTTCCACCGTCATCCCGCCTGTAACCTTCCACCGTCATCCTGTAACCTTCCACCGTCATCCTGTAACCTTCCACCGTCATCCCGCCTGTAACCTTCCACCGTCATCCCTCCTGTAACCTTCCACCGTCATCCTGTAACCTTCCACCGTCATCCTGTAACCTTCCACCGTCATCCCGCCTGTAACCTTCCACCGTCATCCTGCCTGTAACCTTCCACCGTCATCCTGTAACCTTCCACCGTCATCCCTCCTCTAACCTTCCACCGTCATCCCGCCTGTAACCTTCCACCGTCATCCCGCCTGTAACCTTCCACCGTCATCCTGTAACCTTCCACCGCCATCCCGCCTGTAACCTTCCACCGTCATCCTGTAACCTTCCACCGTCATCCTGTAACCTTCCACCGTCATCCCGCCTGTAACCTTCCACCGTCATCCTGCCTGTAACCTTCCACCGTCATCCTGTAACCTTCCACCGTCATCCCGCCTGTAACCTTCCACCGTCATCCTGTAACCTTCCACCGTCATCCTGTAACCTTCCACCGTCATCCTGTAACCTTCCACCGTCATCCCGCCTGTAACCTTCCACCGTCATCCCGCCTGTAACCTTCCACCGTCATCCTGTAACCTTCCACCGTCATCCTGCCTGTAACCTTCCACCGTCATCCTGTAACCTTCCACCGTCATCCCGCCTGTAACCTTCCACCGTCATCCCGCCTGTAACCTTCCACCGTCATCCCGCCTGTAACCTTCCACCGTCATCCCGCCTGTAACCTTCCACCGTCATCCTGTAACCTTCCACCGTCATCCTGTAACCTTCCACCGTCATCCCGCCTGTAACCTTCCACCGTCATCCCGCCTGTAACCTTCCACCGTCATCCTGCCTGTAACCTTCCACCGTCATCCCGCCTGTAACCTTCCACCGTCATCCTGTAACCTTCCACCGTCATCCCGCCTGTAACCTTCCACCGTCATCCCGCCTGTAACCTTCCACCGTCATCCCGCCTGTAACCTTCCACCGTCATCCTGCCTGTAACCTTCCACCGTCATCCCGCCTGTAACCTTCCACCGTCATCCTGTAACCTTCCACCGTCATCCCGCCTGTAACCTTCCACCGTCATCCCGCCTGTAACCTTCCACCGTCATCCCGCCTGTAACCTTCCACCGTCATCCCGCCTGTAACCTTCCACCGTCATCCCGCCTGTAACCTTCCACCGTCATCCCGCCTGTAACCTTCCACCGTCATCCTGCCTGTAACCTTCCACCGTCATCCTGTAACCTTCCACCGTCATCCTGTAACCTTCCACCGTCATCCTGTAACCTTCCACCGTCATCCTGTAACCTTCCACCGTCATCCCGCCTGTAACCTTCCACCGTCATCCCGCCTGTAACCTTCCACCGTCATCCCGCCTGTAACCTTCCACCGTCATCCCGCCTGTAACCTTCCACCGTCATCCCGCCTGTAACCTTCCACCGTCATCCCGCCTGTAACCTTCCACCGTCATCCCGCCTGTAACCTTCCACCGTCATCCTGTAACCTTCCACCGTCATCCTGTAACCTTCCACCGTCATCCTGTAACCTTCCACCGTCATCCCGCCTGTAACCTTCCACCGTCATCCCGCCTGTAACCTTCCACCGTCATCCCGCCTGTAACCTTCCACCGTCATCCCGCCTGTAACCTTCCACCGTCATCCCGCCTGTAACCTTCCACCGTCATCCTGTAACCTTCCACCGTCATCCCGCCTGTAACCTTCCACCGTCATCCTGTAACCTTCCACCGTCATCCTGTAACCTTCCACCGTCATCCTGTAACCTTCCACCGTCATCCTGCCTGTAACCTTCCACCGTCATCCCGCCTGTAACCTTCCACCGTCATCCCGCCTGTAACCTTCCACCGTCATCCTGTAACCTTCCACCGTCATCCCGCCTGTAACCTTCCACCGTCATCCTGTAACCTTCCACCGTCATCCCGCCTGTAACCTTCCACCGTCATCCCGCCTGTAACCTTCCACCGTCATCCTGTAACCTTCCACCGTCATCCTGTAACCTTCCACCGTCATCCTGTAACCTTCCACCGTCATCCTGCCTGTAACCTTCCACCGTCATCCCGCCTGTAACCTTCCACCATCATCCCGCCTGTAACATTCCACCGTCATCCCGCCTGTAACCTTCCACCGTCATCCTGTAACCTTCCACCGTCATCCCGCCTGTAACCTTCCACCGTCATCCTGCCTGTAACCTTCCACCGTCATCCCGCCTGTAACCTTCCACCGTCATCCTGTAACCTTCCACCGTCATCCCGCCTGTAACCTTCCACCGTCATCCTGCCTGTAACCTTCCACCGTCATCCTGTAACCTTCCACCGTCATCCTGTAACCTTCCACCGTCATCCCGCCTGTAACCTTCCACCGTCATCCTGTAACCTTCCACCGTCATCCCGCCTGTAACCTTCCACCGTCATCCTGTAACCTTCCACCGTCATCCTGCCTGTAACCTTCCACCGTCATCCTGTAACCTTCCACCGTCATCCTGTAACCTTCCACCGTCATCCCGCCTGTAACCTTCCACCGTCATCCCGCCTGTAACCTTCCACCGTCATCCTGTAACCTTCCACCGTCATCCTGTAACCTTCCACCGTCATCCTGTAACCTTCCACCGTCATCCTGCCTGTAACCTTCCACCGTCATCCCGCCTGTAACCTTCCACCATCATCCCGCCTGTAACATTCCACCGTCATCCCGCCTGTAACCTTCCACCGTCATCCTGTAACCTTCCACCGTCATCCCGCCTGTAACCTTCCACCGTCATCCCGCCTGTAACCTTCCACCGTCATCCCGCCTGTAACCTTCCACCGTCATCCTGCCTGTAACCTTCCACCGTCATCCCGCCTGTAACCTTCCACCGTCATCCTGTAACCTTCCACCGTCATCCCGCCTGTAACCTTCCACCGTCATCCTGCCTGTAACCTTCCACCGTCATCCTGTAACCTTCCACCGTCATCCTGTAACCTTCCACCGTCATCCCGCCTGTAACCTTCCACCGTCATCCTGCCTGTAACCTTCCACCGTCATCCTGTAACCTTCCACCGTCATCCTGTAACCTTCCACCGTCATCCCGCCTGTAACCTTCCACCGTCATCCCGCCTGTAACCTTCCACCGTCATCCTGCCTGTAACCTTCCACCGTCATCCTGTAACCTTCCACCGTCATCCCGCCTGTAACCTTCCACCGTCATCCCGCCTGTAACCTTCCACCGTCATCCTGTAACCTTCCACCGTCATCCCGCCTGTAACCTTCCACCGTCATCCCGCCTGTAACCTTCCACCGTCATCCCGCCTGTAACCTTCCACCGTCATCCCGCCTGTAACCTTCCACCGTCATCCCGCCTGTAACCTTCCACCGTCATCCCGCCTGTAACCTTCCACCGTCATCCTGTAACCTTCCACCGTCATCCCGCCTGTAACCTTCCACCGTCATCCCGCCTGTAACCTTCCACCGTCATCCCGCCTGTAACCTTCCACCGTCATCCTGTAACCTTCCACCGTCATCCCGCCTGTAACCTTCCACCGTCATCCCGCCTGTAACCTTCCACCGTCATCCCGCCTGTAACCTTCCACCGTCATCCCGCCTGTAACCTTCCACCGTCATCCCGCCTGTAACACCGTCATCCCGCCTGTAACCTTCCACCGTCATCCCGACTATAACCTTCCACCGTCATCCTGTAACCTTCCACCGTCATCCCGCCTGTAACCTTCCACCGTCATCCCGCCTGTAACCTTCCACCGTCATCCCGCCTGTAACCTTCCACCGTCATCCCGCCTGTAACCTTCCACCGTCATCCCGCCTGTAACCTTCCACCGTCATCCCGCCTGTAACCTTCCACCGTCATCCCGCCTGTAACCTTCCACCGTCATCCCGCCTGTAACCTTCCACCGTCATCCCGCCTGTAACCTTCCACCGTCATCCCGCCTGTAACCTTCCACCGTCATCCCGCCTGTAACCTTCCACCGTCATCCCGACTATAACCTTCCACCGTCATCCCGCCTGTAACCTTCCACCGTCATCCCTCCTGTAACCTTCCACCGTCATCCCGCCTGTAACCTTCCACCGTCATCCCGCCTGTAACCTTCCACCGTCATCCTGCCTGTAACCTTCCACCGTCATCCCGCCTGTAACCTTCCACCGTCATCCTGTAACCTTCCACCGTCATCCTGCCTGTAACCTTCCACCGTCATCCCGCCTGTAACCTTCCACTGTCATCCCGCCTGTAACCTTCCACCGTCATCCCGCCTGTAACCTTCCACCGTCATCCTGTAACCTTCCACCGTCATCCCGCCTGTAACCTTCCACCGTCATCCCGCCTGTAACCTTCCACTGTCATCCCGCCTGTAACCTTCCACTGTCATCCCGCCTGTAACCTTCCACCGTCATCCCGCCTGTAACCTTCCACCGTCATCCCGCCTGTAACCTTCCACTGTCATCCTGTAACCTTCCACCGTCATCCCGCCTGTAACCTTCCACCGTCATCCCGCCTGTAACCTTCCACCGTCATCCTGTAACCTTCCACCGTCATCCCGCCTGTAACCTTCCACCGTCATCCCGCCTGTAACCTTCCACCGTCATCCCGCCTGTAACCTTCCACCGTCATCCCGCCTGTAACCTTCCACCGTCATCCCGCCTGTAACCTTCCACCGTCATCCTGTAACCTTCCACGGTCATCCCGCCTGTAACCTTCCACCGCCATCCCTCCAATAACCTCTATTTCCATATCTTTATTCCCTTCTATAAAACCTTGAAGATGTTCTTGTCAGTTCGATCAAGGACCTCGGCTGTGACCTCGGCAAATGAAAGGATAATATGATCAGCACTATGCCTAGCCATCTTGTGATGGACTAAGTCTTCAACCCGCATCGGAACTCAAGACTTGCGGGTTAGCAGTTTAGCGCTCTACCACTAGGCCACGTCGTCAAAACGAAGTTCTAATCACTCCCTCAATGTATCAACATATCACACACGTCACTTTCACGTGTGCCGCTGGGTCTGGAAGACGAGTCTACGACACACAACATCAATGTGCTTGTGGTCTGAAAGAACTCGACAACATCAGATACAACTCACCGAACGCTTGAGTTGATGCAATAAGCATCAACAGCTATGTGATTATGATCTTGATCTAAAAAAAACTCGACAACATCAGATACAACTCACCGAATGCTTGAGTGGATGCAATAAGCATCAACAGAACCAATAGATGTAGCGGTCCCATTTCAACTGTCAGCCTTTGTGGACATATCAAATTGAGAAATGCGTTATATATATATATATATATATATATATATATATATATATATATATATATATATATATATATATATAAATTACTAGCGTTAACGGCACTCATGAAAACCAAAATTCTAGCCCTAATAATAACGTTTATCATGAAAAGACAATTTATTCACTCGATAGACATAACTTTTTGTGACTGTGGAATTTCTGTTTATACTTTATTACATCTGGTTTATGAATGTTTTTTTTTATAGTTATTCCTACTTAAAGCAATTTTTTTTAAAAACCTTATTTCATGTGAGCAGAGGCGTAGCGAGGGGGGGAAGGTTCGGGGGGGCGCGGACCCCACCGGATGACACCATATAGGGGGGTGACACCAAGGCAAAAAATAGCAAAATATATAGAGAAAAACTTGAGAGGGGTGCAAACCAAAAGTTTGAGTGGTGTGGGGGGGGTGCAAATCAAAAGTTTGAAAGGGGGGGGGGGGGTGCAAATCGAAAGTTTGAGGGGGTGCAAATCGAAAATTTGAAAGTTTGTTCCCGGGAAGGGTCACTACGCCTCTGGTGGGTGACGCCATTAAGTGCCGAACCGGGTGACACCCGACCTCGCTACGCCACTGCATGTGAGACTCATTTCGACATCTCTGTCGGTACTCTAGTGAATGATGTAGATAGAAGAAAAGCTGGAAACTACTTAGCCCTACCTCAAAACATTTAATCTTTAACAAACCCTATAGATAGAATACACCTTTCATAACAAAAAATGCATAGTCTAGATCTAGATCTACATTATTATTTGTTATTATACATTTAACACAGCGTCAGAAAATTATTGTATGTTGTAATTATTTGATAAGCTTACAGACAAGCAGCGAGCCGAAGAATCGTAGATGTTTTAAATGTACTGAATCAGAGCCGGGGTAACTTAGATGTTATGTACTAAATCATTTGTTCAAGAACCTTCAATTACTTTAGATGACATCCGGTGTAATGTGTATGTGTATACTTACGGTGTAAACTAAACAACTGCGCTATTTTTTGTTCCGTAATGATTGGTGTGCACACACAATGGTGCGTAAATTAGTTGCATAAAGATGCTTGCAGCGTTGATTTTGCGCTTTATAACTGGTCACAATGCGTATGCGCACTTGTTAGTATTTCAATAAATATATTACCGGCTATGTAAGCATTACATAAATACTCTTATTGCAAAAGTCTTAAATAACAAGCAGTCTAAAAATGAACTTACAATACAAAACGAACGAAAATTTGTTAAAATTATTTTTGCGCTTGGGTAAGTCAAGACGGTAAAGGTTATGTTTTGTTATTCTTCAAACTTTAATTGTGTGTATCAGGATAAAAAATGTGTTTATAGAAAGTGCTGAGTAATTAAAAATGAAGATGTTTTGATATGTATTAGGTAGGTAGTAATGCATTACGTTTTAGGCTGCAATTATGGCATGGTTAAAATACCAGTTCAATTTTTTTTTTGTTGCGTAGTGTATGTTTATTTAGAAATAAAAGCAGGTCTTCCTAATGATTATCTAAGTCCGGCTACATATTCTTAGCTGTATAATTTAATTTCACGAAATTAGATTCAAATAGGTATTTAGTTAATCAACAAGAAAGTCGTTATACCATGCCGAAATTGAAACCCCACATTAGCCAAATCCTGGACCCTCAGACATAAACACTTAAACACCCAATCTCAGGTGTTCAAGCGTCAACTCACAAACACGGGGTACTTTTAGTTAAACTCAGCACACCAATACCTGCATAGGGTACACATGTAGTCGAATACTTTCGTTGGCCCTGTGGCGAGATTGAATATCGCACGCTGTACGTATCGGCGGTCTGTGTTCAAATCCGGGTCTAGAGACAGTCACTGGTATACCCTGCTTGTGTATCTGATTAACAAACATAAATAGTGATATAAAAGACTGTCAGTTGTCGTTTTTATTTTGCTTTGGTAATTTAAAAACTAATTATATATGTATGTGTAACAGTGATGTGGGGTGGGGGGTGGGAGTTATTCGATGTTCTAACTTCTCGTCCGTGTATATATATATATATATATATATATATATATATATATATATATATATATATATATATATATATATATACATATATATATATATATGTATATATATATATATATATATATATATGTAGGTGGTCTTATTTAAATAATATTTAAGAGAGACAATTGCTTTTTAATTAATTAACTACAAAACTATTTAAGGAGCTTTATGGAAACCCCAATTAGGCGATTTTAAAAAGGGCACTAAGTCATAGAAATAGTGTGAACTTTTGTGAACAATAGTGCATTGTTCCACTTCTCCCTTGTCCCACTTCTCCCTTGTCCCACTTCTCCCTTGTCCTACTTGTCCTACTTCTCCCTTATCCCACTTCTCCCTTATCCCACTTCTCCCTTGTCCTACTTCTCCCTTATCCCACTTCTCCCTTGTCCTACTTCTCCCTTATCCCACTTCTCCCTTGTCCTACTTCTCCCTTGTCCCACTTCTAGTAGACCGGGTGGCTAAATTGAATCTTGAACACAGCACTCGATGCCGTTCTTAGTTCAAAACCGAGCCAGCAACATCTCTAACACAAAATACCAACTCTTTGTAAATGTGCATTTTTTTAAAACATTTACATTGTGTGTTTGTGTCGCTTTGGCAATAGGAAAAAGTAGAAGTCGGTTTGAAAGTTTCTTATGAATTGTTTTCCAATTTCTTTTCTTCCTTATATTTGTAAAAGCAAAGCAATATGTTATATTGTTTAGCAAAAAAAAAAATATTATAAAAAGTGTTTTCAGGAAATATGTGTGGTTGTGGGCTGCTTGCCGTGATAACACGGTCGGCAATGTCGGCAATGTATGTCTTGATAGATTATTGTACTGTATCGGTCTTCGTATAAAGAGAACTTTGTACAGTTACGTACAGTATCGTGTGCAGCTTCTCTGTTGGTTAATCGTGTGTTATTCATGTTGAATGATCATAACTTTATAATAGAACCCTATAATAGAATTGTTATGAAACGTATTTTAAGTATTGCAAGAGTATGAGAATATGGGTGTAGTGGAATGATTTTATATTAATTAATGAATTAAACAAAGTAATGGAAATTCTTGACAGTGTGTGACTTTATAAAACATCTTTTAGAAAATGACGTAAATATTGTAAAGAAAAGTCGTGATATCAAATGTATTCTTTGTTTCACATTCAGTAAATCTAACGATTGACAGAAGAAACCTAACGATTGACAGAACCTAACGATTGACGGTAGAAACCTAACGATTGACATAACCTAACAATTGACAGAAGAAACCTGACGATTGACAGTAGAAACCTAACGATTGACAGAACCTAACGATTGACAGAAGAAACCTAACGATTTACAGAAGAAACCTAACGATTGAAAGAACCTAACGATTGACAGAAGAAATCTAACGATTGACAGAAGAAACCTAACGATTGACAGTGTAAACCTAACGATTGACAGAACCTAACGATTGACAGAAGAAACCTAACGATTGACAGAACCTGACGATTGACAGTAGAAACCTAACGATTAACAGTAGAAACCTAAAGATTGACGGTAGAAACCTAACGATTGATAGTAGAAACCTAACGATTTGTAAAAGAAACCTATCGATTAACCATAGAAACCTACCGATTGACAGAAAAAACCTAACGATTGACAGAACCTGACGATTGACAGTAGAAACCTAATGATTGACAGAACCTAACGATTGACAGAAGAAACCTACCGATTGACAGAACCTAACGATTGACAGAAGAAATCTAACGATTGACAGAAGAAACCTAACGATTGACACAAGAAACCTAACGATTGACAGAACCTAACGATTGACAGAAGAAATCTAACGATTGACAGAAGAAACCTAACGATTGACACAAGAAACCTAACGATTGACAGAACCTAACGATTGACAGAACCTAACGATTGACAGAAGAAACCTAACGATTTACAGAAGAAACCTAACAATTGAAAGAACCTAAAGATTGACAGAAGAAATCTAACGATTGACAGAAGAAACCTAACGATTGACAGAAGAAACCTAACGATTGACAGAACCTAACGATTGACAGAACCTAACGATTGACAGAAGAAACCTAACGATTGACAGAACCTGACGATTGACAGTAGAAACCTAACGATTAACAGTAGAAACCTAAAGATTGACGGTAGAAACCTAACGATTGATAGTAGAAACCTAACGATTTGCAAAAGAAACCTATCGATTAACCATAGAAACCTAACGATTGACAGAAGAAACCTAACGATTGACAGAACCTGACGATTGACAGTAGAAACCTAATGATTGACAGAACCTAACGATTGACAGAAGAAACCTAACGATTGACAGAACCTAACGATTGACAGAAGAAATCTAACGATTGACAGAAGAAACCAAACGATTAACACAAGAAACCTAACGATTGACAGTGTAAACCTAACGATTGACAGAACCTAACGATTGACAGAAGAAACCCAATTATTGACAGAACCTAACGATTGACACAAGAAACCTAACGATTGACAGTGTAAACCTAACGATTGACAGAAGAAACCTAACGATTGACAGAAGAAACCTAACGATTGACAGAACCTGACGATTGACAGTAGAAACCTAATGATTGACGGTAGAAAGCTAACGATTGATAGTAGAAACCTAACGATTTACAAAAGAAACCTATCGATTAACAATAGAAACCTAACGATTGACAGAAGAAACCTAATGATTGATAGAACCTAACGATTGACAGAAGAAACCTAACGATTCACAGAACCTAACGATTGACAGAAGAAACCTAACGATTGACAGTAGAAACCTAACGATTGACAGTATAAATCTAACGATTGACAGAAGAAACCTAACGATTGACAGAAACTAACGATTGACAGAAGAAACCTAACGATTGACAGAAGAAACCTAACGATTGACAGAACCTAACGATTGACAGAAGAAACCTAACGATTGACAGAAGAAACCTAACGATTGACAGTAGAAACCTAACGATTGACACAAGAAATCTAACGATTGACACAAGAAACGCCCTGGCACAGTGGATAGATTGAACACTGTGTGAACACAATTATGTTTCGAGTTCAAATCCATTACGCTGCCAAGCTTAAGCATTTGTAAAACATAGACATTACTATCCAATCATACAATATAATATACAGTATTTACAAACGGCAAATGTTTTTTAGAAAAAAAAATTATCAACAACATTTTATTTATTTATTTATCGTGCATTTTTTTTTGTCTTAACTATTTTGTCTGCATCAGTCATGTATCAAAAATTTCCAACAAGAGTGCTGAACATGTGATCTATGTTTTAATTTGAACAGCTTGATAATGCTTACATACATTATCTTAAGGGCGATTTGGTGGTTAGTTGTGTCGTCAGTTACAATCGTACTAAGCAATTCTTATTTCCATGTAATTAATACATTTTTTTTTATTTTTGTTCGCTGGACATGACCAAGTTGACGAGAATCCGTCCATCATTATTGTTGACGTGAATGATAACGTATTTTTTTTCGATTTTTCAATCGAAGTGTCCGTAAATATATATATATATATATATTTTTTTAAATGTAATCCTGAAAATAATGCAGAAATTGAATATTTTAAGAATCAACTAGAGAAGTTTTTAAATCCAGAGAACTTTATAACGATTGACAGACAGTGTTTCTTCCCGACTTTTTTCGTTCGGGGGGTGGGGGAAGTGGGGCCCTTGAAATTTCCGGGAGGGCGGACTAACATTTCCGGGGGTGGGGGGGGGGGGCGACACAGTTTCATTTTGTTCGGGGGGGGGGGGGGGTAGATATTCTTCGGTGGGGGAGGGGGGGGGGCGGAGCCTGAAGGAAACTCTGTTGACAGAAGAAAAACTCACAAACTCAACAAGAGCAACCCAATTAACACAAGACAGTAATATTGTTGCTATAATGTCTTTTATTCAGAATTT